GATTTTAATTATTAATAGATATATTTTTAACTGGATCATGCTTGAAATGGTTGATTTCATAAATCAACAATCCAATAATTAATTAATTAAATAAACAAAAATAGCTTTGCTAATTAACAATGGTTTTATTATGTGATTTTATTACAATGTTATTGTCATAAAGTTATTTTAAAAATTCAAGGTGTTAAAATTATAGTTGTTTGCCATAATTGCCCCTCTTATCAATCAATGATCATCAATGTATCTGTAATTCTATAATTAGTTTTTTGTTGTTGCCATAATTAACTTTAATAGTTGCCAAACTTATCTCCAACCAGGGTGGAAATAGTACTTTAAAAATCTGGATTTTCTTTAACTTCTGGGAAAAAAAAAGTTGCCAGTTCCAACCTCTATATTCATCAGGATCTTAAATTATAAAATTGCATCACAATGTAAAACAGGTACCATTGCAGCCTACCCAACATTGCACAATGCATTGTTACATTGCGATGTACATCTTGATTTAACATTTCTCATCAAATTTTATTGTATTAAAAATTAATAAAATAAAATATACATAGAATTATTGTTTTATTTTAGAAATTTTTTAACATAATAATGATAAAATACACAACTGCAGTCAACCCCGTTAATTCGAAAAACCCTGTTAAACCAAAGAAACAGTAAATCCACCCTGTTAAACCAAATTTGTTAAACCTAAATACTAATACTAATACTAATTTTAAACGGAATAATGGGGTCGTGGCCTAGTGCTAGGCCCTATAAATTATTTTAATTTTTCTTTTTTGAAACAATGAATTTTCAATTAATAATAATAATGACAGCAAAAATCAGAAAACACGAAAATTTTGCATGCATATTCTACAGGACCTAGGCTACAAGGTATATATACTTATTCTGTGTGTTTTTGCATTATTGATTCTCTGAAATTTGCTGTAGCGTACCATTTGATCTAATAAAATCTATTTGAATCTACTAGAACAAATAAACAAAAGGATAAATTTATTATTTATCAAAAAAAGAAAAAAAGAAACTTTAAGGGTAGGGTAGAGGGGAATCATGTGACATTTATGATCAACAGTTTTTGTGTTCAATTTTAAAAAATATGTTATATATGTGTAAGACACGTAAAAATAAACATAATTACCACAATTTTATGAATTAGATTCCTGAAATTCCAAGCTTTATTACAAAATTAAAAAAACCACTTATTATTATATACAAATTTTAGTTCTTTTAACTTAAAGCTCAAATATTTTCAAATTACTAAGTAACATATAGGAAATGCTAAGTATGCTCTTATTGAACTTAATATATATATTAATAAAAGACTTTTTTACTTAAATTTCTTACTAAAATTTTATTTTATTTTTTATTCTGAGAAAGATAGCCATATATACATATATATTAATAGAATATGAAGTGGCACCAGGAGTTATGTGAACAAAATCCCTAATATAAGGCATTTGAAGGTCAAGGTGTTTGGTTAGTTCGAGATGATACATACACTTTGGAAGTTATGGAAAAGAATGCAGTTGTTGAACAAAATACAGCTCTATTAAATTTATTTTATCAACAATTGGTAGTCAAAGGCATGTCAGATAAAGAAGGCAAGACATTTGTGCCAATAATTCCTGGATACTCTATAATAACTTAATATAAGATATATTTTATAGAAACAATAATTTTTATAACAAATATATTATTAAATCTCAAAGGAAAATTATTTA